ACCTTCCGGAATGTAGATTTAAATTGTATTAAATTTTATAACTATAATAATTAGATAAGAGTGTTTGATATTGAAGATTACTCTTATTTATAACTTTTATTTTACAATTTGGTATAATTCAAATTATAAAACAAAATAATAATAATAATAATAATAATAAATCTTTGATTTTGTTAAAACCCAAAATGGCATTAGAATAAATCAATGCAAAATGTTCACTTTGCTGTCAACCCTTTCCACCTCTTGTTAAGCATCTCAGACCTGGCTAAAAAAATATAGTAAAGGCAATGACAAAGAGATAAGGGAAATCAAATTCGAGCAATCCAAAGTCCAACAAAGACTAGACCTAGTGGATTGAATTTTTCAAATCATTGAAAAGGAAAGGGGGTTATGGTTATGTGGTCCTTTTAAATAATGCAAAGGTAGATGAGTTGAGAATCTGCAGAGCATACATGGAGACCACCACAAATGCCCAGTTAGCGATCACTATCGTGGGGGAAGGGTTATATATGCTTCTCAAAGTTTAATTCATCTTCCCCAAGTTATGATAATTTCCAATTGTCTCCAAAGCTAGTTTTACTTACCTCATCTGGCCAAAGTTTATTTCACATGTGCCCCACATGGCTCAGGCCTCACGGATCATTGTACCTCATCAATCCCTTAAACAATGTTGATATGAAGCATAGGACAGTTCCTAAACTACAAATGTCAATAGAGTCAAGAAAATCAGGAAGGAAAGGATAACTTCATGAGTGGGTAAATGTGGGGGAGTGACATTACCAAGTCTTTTTCTGTGAAATATTTCCCAAATTGAGTGCAAAGCATCAAAGGAAAGGTATAATATATAGAAACATTTGTTTTTGTTAATTCAAACTATTGAATTCATTTACAAGTTTGCAAAGAGGATATTCCTCAATATATGTTTGTAAAGAATAATGGACAATTAGGGAGTGTAGTACATAGGATTTGGAAGCTTGAAGGAACGAACGGATGTTGGAGAGCCTAATAAATCACTCCACTGATCGCCAGAATTGCCAATGATCCTGTACTCCTCATTTACCATCTCACCTCTCTTTTCTGGCTTAAATATCACGGCAAGCTTACCTTGGTCTGCCGAAGCTCTGCATGGTACGACAACACGGGGAATGGTCAGCAATTTCTGTGCTTATATAACAATGTGGCAAATTAAAGCACTAATGATAGAAATTATATAATTAAAAGAGAGTAGACACACGAGAAGAAAGAGGAAAACTGAAAAATTAAGGAGCAAAATGTAGATTGTCTTTTATGATTAGATATTTAAACTGATATCTAAAACCCCTTCATCTTTCCTCTTTACCAATCCCTTATAGTTGACAAATGCACATCATAAGCAGAAACCCAAGGCCACAATTATAATACAAAATAACTAGCCAGAGTAAAGAAAAAAATGAACAGAAGCACAAAACAAGAATTAAATCTTGAAAGGAAAAAGAGAAAATTACGATATCTTAATATTAAAAATATCAAGATATGTAATAATAGTTTTTTAATGAATTTGATAAAATTTGATCCCACATTATATCTTACATATTTAATAACTGTAATTGGATATTTTGATACTTTTGAAAGTTATAACATCTTGATTTTCTCTTTTTTTCATCTTGGAAATGCATGGTAATATCTAGATTGTATGTAGATCTGATCAAATAAATTACTCACACACACTTTTTAGATAGTCATCAGCCAAGAAGAGTAAACGGTTCTCCGACAATGAAAAAAATCAAGAGCACAACGCATTGAATTCTTTAGTTCCATGAATGAAAAGATACTAATTCTACACTTTTTTTGGTAGGAATTTTTTGGACGACAATGCTTATTCTCTAGTAGTGGTCCAACTAAAGTAAGGAGTCCATCTGCAAAAATCGCAAAGAAAGGCAATTCATGTGCATGGGACATCTTCGATGAACTTTAGAACAGCATCTCGTAGGATATCATAAAGCTTTCATATTCAACACTAAGCATCATTTATATTGCAAGAGGAGAAAAAGAGGCCCTTGAAAATGATAGGAAAGCTAATTAATATGTCAGCAACTACCAGAAAGCAATGCCATAATTCTCTTTCTGTTCATTCACCACAAAAATAAAAAGCTAGCTTTTTCTGTTCAATTAATGTGTTTAGCAAGAAATCTCTAAAGCAAGTCATAAAAAAAAAAAAA